AGAAACTTTTTATTTTTTGTTATAATAAAACTGTTGCAATTACATCCTGACGGTGATGTTGAATACATGGCTGGGTGGGAGAAAAAGAACAAAAGTTTGCCTAACATGATTTGGAAAAGTGTGAAGAATAGAAAACGACGACAAGTTCACGCTTGGGAAAAACTGATGACACAAGATCTAGGTTGTGTGGAAAAGGAGGTGGATAGAAAAAAGTACTGATAGTTAGGTGATTGAAAGGATAAAGTGGTGTAAAAGAAAATGGAAAAAAGAAAAAAGTGTGTATGGTGTGTGTCTATTATGAGGTTCATGTCTATCCGGAAAGAGAGAAAGTGCAACGTTCTAGTTAGTGGAAAGAAATCTGAACAAGAAAGAGAAAGAGAGAGAGAGAGAGAGAGAGAGAACAAAAGAGGTGTGTGTGGATTTGTGGTAAAGTGAGAAAGGGAAAAAGAAGAAAAGAGAATGATACTTGAAATGGTGGTTAGATAGGTAGGTAGTTGGTTAGTAGTGTATGGTAGTGGTGTTAATAGTAGTAGTAGTACTTGACACTGGGACACCGGGGCAGTAAGTTGGTAGACAAAGTTGTGCAGGTGCTCAGCTTGTCATAGACAAATTGTCACAACACCGACAAAGGGGGCAACAGCTGCGACTGAAACATTAAAAGTGATGGTCAACAAACAGATTTGTAGTGCTCAAGCATCTAATGGATGGAAACTAAAGTGATGCTGGGTTGCTGTCAGTGTGCGTGTGCCTGTGTGTGTGTGTGTTTAGTGATGATCTCCTTTTCCTCTTTTTGGATGTACTAGAAACAGGAGCAGCAGCAGCAGCAATCGAAAGGGGAGAAGAAGACTTAGGCCGACTTAGGCGCGCTCTCCGCGAATTCGTCTGGCCAGCTGAATGTCCTTCGGCATGATAGTGACCCGCTTGGCGTGAATGGCGCACAGGTTGGTGTCCTCGAAGAGGCCGACCAGGTAGGCCTCGCTGGCCTCCTGCAGGGCGCCGATGGCCGCCGACTGGAAGCGCAGGTCGGTCTTGAAGTCCTGCGCGATCTCGCGCACCAGTCGCTGAAAGGGCAACTTGCGGATCAGCAGCTCGGTCGACTTCTGGTAGCGGCGAATTTCACGCAGGGCCACCGTTCCGGGGCGGTAGCGATGCGGCTTCTTCACGCCGCCGGTCGAGGGCGCCGACTTGCGGGCAGCCTTGGTCGCTATTAAAGTGAGTGTGTGTGTGTGTGATGGTCAATTAGGAGATGGAAAGGGGGTAGATGACAATAGAAAACAAAAATGAGGAATTAGTGATGGGAGAAAGAAAAGCGTAGTTGCGCACAATGCACTGAGGACAATGACACTGGCGCAATAAACGGGAACGGGAGCACACTACGTACCCAGCTGCTTGCGTGGCGCCTTGCCACCGGTGGACTTGCGAGCGGTTTGCTTGGTACGGGCCATACTTTTTGTTGTTGTTCTTGTTGTTGCTTAGTCCTGATCAGTCCTCTGGGGGTACACTTTAAGGGAAGGTAGGTGGAGGTGATGGTGGTAGGGGTGCGTTTGATTGAGTGGTGGGAGCGGATGCGAAGCCAATGCCTTGTCTCACTGTGTGTGTGAGTCAATGTTTTGATGAGCGCTGGTAGTGGGATGAGCGAGTGAGGGAGCGAGTGAAGGAGCGAGCAGCTCCTGCAATCCCACTTCGACAGTGCAAAGGCTGCTGCTGCTGCTGCTTCTGCTGCTGCTGCAACATCGCCGCAATGACCGCTTTGCCGATGCGCAGCGCAGACAGTGTACGTGTAGACAGAGTGCCTATGTGCTTTGTGCTTTGGGCACACACAAACACAGTGTGTTCACAAAAGAGCGACCAAGAAGACGGTGCACACTGCTGCAGCAGCAGCTGGTGCAGCCGCTTTCTCTCCATTTTCCTTCTCTCTTTCTCCCTTTCTCGTTGCCACCCCGATTTGATTTCCATCCAGTGCATCCAATCCAGTTTCTCTCTTGCTCCCTGCTCCTGCTCTTTTTCTCCCTCCAATCCCAATGACCACCGCCACCACCACCACCACCGCCACTATAGCCACCTAGGCTGGCCGGCGCTGGTTCACGTGAACACGATTTTGAAAAGCGTGATGAAAATAGCGGAACTCCGGTGAAGCAAGTAGTCTCTGGTGAAAAAGGAGCGAAAAAGAAAGAAAGTGAAGTGCAGTGCCACCACTATCGTCGCCGATGTTTTCCATCAAGTGGTTAAATGTTGATTGAAATCAGCATGCACAATTTGGTTAGGCACTATCTGCAACTGACTGGTCAAAGTACTGCTTGCCAGCTCGCTTGGTGTACTGTTTAGTTGTCAGGCGGGCAGACAGGCAAGCAACTGGCTGGCCAGCGATTGGCTAGTCCTCTTGCCTGTAGCTGCCACTCACTAGTGCTTGTTTCCTCCATTTTTTCCTGCTTCTCAGTATCTCCAGTTTTTCCCTTTCCCTTTCTCTCCCCCCTCTCTCTCTCTCTCTCTTTCTTCCTTTTCCCTCACGAATTTGACTGGCTCTGACTGGATCTTAGAGCCCTTTCTCACATGTTTCTTTTCCGTCTTCACTTCATGTCACTTCATCACTTGACTAGGCCAAAGCAGCAACAGCAGCAGCAGTAGTGGTGGTGATGGCGGTGCACTTTGAGCTCATCTTCACCACCACCACCACCACCACCACCACCACGTCCTTCGCCACACCCAACATTCCACTTTGTAGAGTGACTGCCACCACCACGACGACCACCACCACCACCACGGCCAGCACAAGCCAGTCAGCAGAGTGAGCACAGGCAGCCGATGATCAGCCAGCAAAAAAGGGATATATGGCAGTGCACCTCGTTCGGGTTTGTTCAGTTACAGCCCAAGACACTCAACAGTGACAGCAACTCGTCATCATCAGCATCATCATCATCAGTACTACTGCAGCGATGACGGCCGCAACAAGAGAGCAGAAGAGAACGAGAGAGCGAGCAAGTGAGCGATAGAAAAGAGAGAAAAAAGAGAGACATCGACAAGGGCACCAAGTTGTTCAATCAGGAAAGTCGACACTGACTTGTTCGTCGTCGTCGTCGTCGTCCAAACGACTGTCACCACACTTGCTCAATGGCGACTCTATCTGCAAGATTCAGCGGTTTTGGCTGAGCATTTTGAAGATCTAATGTACCCGCGAAGAGTGGCGGCCAGTGAAGTACTTGGACACCAAACTATGAGCTGATCTAAAGTTCACCATTGCTGCTTTGCAGCTGGAGAGCAGCATAGAGCGATATAGAGGTAAGTGTTTTTCTTGCTTTATATGTTTAAGATCCATTTCTTTCTTTGTGCTCATTGCCATAGTAACCATGATCTGATCATCAGAGTACTTAATTTGATCATTTTACTGCGTTTTTAAAGCAAACTTTTTTATATTCAACTTTTTTCCATTTTAATCCAGGGTTTTTAAGTTTGGCGTTCCACAGTTTGGTTCTGGATCTGCTCGCTTTAAAAGGTAATCGATCACGTGGTCTGTCATATGTTTTTTAACAAAATATGAGATCACATTTTCGGTTACAGAGAGAGATGTCACTCGTTTCCAGCAAGCCAAAGAATGGACGTCTTAGTAAAGTTACACATTCAAACGAAGCTAATTGAATCACATTGAAAATGTAAGTAAATGCTTGGTAACAAGATTAACACTGATTAACACAGTTGTTGCTCAACTTTTTTCCTTTCATGCACTAATTATGTACTTTAGAATGCGCTTAAAAATACCTTGAATTGGGGATCAAGATGCCACCGCAGAGGTGAGGTGAAGCAATCATGGCAAAAAGTTACTGCTGGTGTGGTTTGACTTTAAGGCTTTCAAGTGGTAACGCATGCAAAATGAGTATTAAAGAGTACTTGCTGAAACTGACTGCTGAAATGAAAAGAGGGGCTGAAAACTACTAGGAAGAGGACCACCGAGAAGTGCCAGAATGATCTATGGGAGCTTGGCTCTCAGGTTCTTGGTAAGCAATCTTCAAGCAGCACACACTAAAAGACGGCTTAGTGTACTGGCAACTGCTCTAGAGCTTGGCAGTGCCACCGCCAGTAATCTGGTCGTCAATAGTTGTTGAGATTTGCCACTCCACAGTTGTACTTCTTTCTTTCTGTCTTTCTTTCTGTTTTTCCATACTTTTGTCCTCACTACACTTACACTACACCCTTATCGACAATAAATTGTGTTTTGTCCCTATCTTCTTCACACGTTCTCTCGTTTTCTTTCTTGTTTTTATGACGGTCAGCCAGGCCATTTTCTCAGATAAAGCTGATATTTTTAGAGAGAGAGAGAGA